GCTACACCTCATTTCCGCACACGCCTACCCCTGAGTTCAGGTGAACTCCAAAGCCCGGTGGAATTAACAGACAGATCTGAATAAGCAGCCGTCTGTGGAAACCTTGGTGGCGGTGTCGATTCAGGGCATAAGGCCCTACCAGTGGTAAATGTACAGATGCTCAGCCCTCTTCTGTTCAACATGGTCGTGTTCAAATTATCCTTCGGTAGGGCACAGATACGTGCTCCACTCCTGAAATGCCTGCCTATAAAGTGGCTTTCTGATACATTTAAACAACCATCCAGCGCAAATATGAATTTTTAGTATAATGTATTAAAGAAAACTGCGTCTCATATCCTAGAAGGAGCCTATCAAAACCGTTCCCCTATCACAGATGGCCTTCCGTCATAGTTGAAGGGGTTAAACATATCTGTGTTGAAATTGGAATGAACGCACACACGTCCAAAGATTACCACCGAGTGGAACGATGCAGAATTGAAGACGGGGAAGTCGGCAGAGCCAAGACGTCTTTGGCTGACCTTCTGCTGAAAAACTGTTCACGGAAATGTCGCCGGCGCAAAGCCTTGGTGAGTAATGACGGCTGTTTTGAGGTGCGGTAATTAAAGATGACAAGCTTTCCCGGTAATGAGGAGAAAGAGAGAGAAATACGCCTTATTTGGAAAGTATCTTCCAGAATTTTCAGCAAGAACACCTTTTGTCCACCGTGGGTATGTAAAATAAATAGCACCGGAGAATTACGAACTGAGTATTAAAGTAGTCACCGACAAGAATTACGATTACAGTTAGTTGTTACCGCGGACAAGAGCAAGGGAAGATAAATTTTCAAGAGGGCGCTTTGTTTTGTTTAATATGAAATCAACCAAACTTATCAGCGAGCAAAAAACAAAGAACCTAGAAAGGTTAACAGAAAAATAAAATCCGAGGCAAAAGACAAGAAAGAAAACATTACCCCTGCTGAAATTTAAAGAAATCATCTATCTAAATTGAATAGGAGGGAAGGGGACAAGTGTACTTATAATGTACTGAGACAACAATAAAGTACAAAAACAATTGCATGCGAAAAAAGCTATTGAGAATGCGCGATTGTACTTTGAGTGGCTGAGGAATAGTCGCCCCAGCCCCTAACCCTAACTCCTAACCCTAAGCCCTAACTCCTAATTCTAACCCCTAACCCTTAGCCGCAGCCCCAAGCCCTAACTCTGAATCATCCAACGCGAAAGTTAGAAGGAGACGACAGGTCGAAAATCAAGAAGGCCCATCGGCATTGGGCTAAAAAGGTAGTCACGGCAAACAAGAAACAGGGCCACCAACAGAACACACATCGCAAGGCACAGCAACGCCTTGCCAACGTAATCACATCAACTCAAAATAACTAAGTACGTCAACAGTATTGTGCCCATTAGGTGCGGCTACATAACCAAATCTTACCAAGGATTTGTTTAAACTACTCCACATTCGGAAATCGTGGTTCATCGTGTATTATACTGACGGAAGTTGGACAAGCTAGACGGAGAAATCGAAGTTCCAAATGAGTTACCGACATTCTACTCGGTACCTTCTGAGAGACTACACCAAACCCGTGTTTTCTAGCCTACACATCAGCCACCCATTATTCACTGGCCGCAGTTCAGTGATGAATAACTGTATGTTCGTAAATTTATATTGAGATCCTTGAAACGATAGAACGAACGCATTCCATACCGTAGTCATGTCGACCGACGACTCTCGCACGCTGGCTAATACTTCCGATCCCAACCTACAGGATGATGGTTCTGTGATTTAAAAGCGGAGGGTTTGGCTTAAAGCCTAACTCGGATTAATTCCGATCCTGCACTAGATTGTGATGGTCGAGGCCTAAAAAGTCAAACGTGACCATTCAGCAGCGATGCATCCTTGAACGGTACTTGTTTCACGTGATTGTTGGTCGAAGTGCGACTGCTTGACGGAGTTCCAGATCAAGTTCCAGCATGCTAGAGTGATGAATGTACACTGATATTATATTGGCCATCTTAAATGCAAGGAACTTCTGAAACGATTGCCGGGAACCTATTCTGTTCGGCATATGCATGGGTCACAAACTTCCGTCATCTTTACGCCCAACATAATCTTGGGAAAAGAACCCTAATCACGGAGACCGATAGACTACCGACAACTTCAGCATCTCATGCACTATTTTTCTCTTACCGATACGTTGGCCATACGGGCCGAAATAATGGTAAATCCACTAAATAACACAATCTATCTGATTGATGAAATGGTCCCTTGTCTCTCAGAATTGCGCGCGCCTCATAAAGTGACCTCTCATTCAATTGAGACGCCAGTGAAGTGGTCGTCACGACGAATGAAAAGCACGCTCGTGAACTCGCTGCGGCATGTAAATCTATCAAATGAAAAATCAACTGTCACGCCCACCTGGTCGTTCACAACGTATGCCTGAGTATTTGGCTCACTGATTCTGCGCCCACGCTGAACTAGCAGCCGCCAATTCACATCGAGCCATCTTGAAGCACTCCCTTCCCTTCACTTGCCCATCCTTTCGGCGAACGTGTTTAGTCTACTTAATTTCAGTGACCGGATGGTATTACCAGCTTCAAAATTCACTGGACCAGACTTGAGTTTCTAGAACTGTCTTATTTTGGTTTATCTTAATAATTACAGACGACATAAAGTATCATTATGGGCAGTTGGCCTAGAAACCTAGGGCTGAAAATTGCTCACTATAAAACTTAGAATAAGAAAATAATACATTAGTGTCAAGAAAAAATCCTCTAGATGCACACAAAATGGCAAGGATCGGTCTGTTGGCATTTAGCCACACTAAACACTTACTCCTTCGACGTCCCTATTTGCAGAATCAGACAAAAGCTTTCTTGCCTCCGTAGATCGCTTTGCACACATTACAAAACCGGAAAACTTTTATGGAATACCGTTCTGCAACAAATAATCAAACATCGGGCAGTCAACTAGATGGCAAATTGAATCTTCCGTTAATTCTTGTAGGATGTTTACCTCGTAATTATCAAAAAGCTTTTCAAAAATTTATAAAGGTTATTCATTTCAAAGAACCCAGGTATTTGAATGAGCGAACTATACGAACACTTACAACTTGAATTTACACACTTGAATCTGATTTTTGTGGGTTCGGCGTTTCCCATTCCTTTGTCAATATGGCTAATTCTTGCCGACGTCATATTACCTCCAGTAATTTTTTGCTTTTTAGCTTAACTGAAGATCGTTAAATATTAAGTGCGAGGTTTAATCGGAGCATTTAGGTCGGTTGTCGATTTATCAGAGGCTTTTTTATTATTTCGTGCACACGATTTACGTCGCCAACTTTACATGTACGTCAGCCGGTGCATAACACGTTTAAGTACACACCTTCGAAATTTCTTCTTGAATTGACAGACACTAACAATGTGGGTTCTGTTCCGAGCAAAGGTCTGCTCAGCTTCCAGGGTAGGCACGACTGCTATCGACAGGCAGACTGCTCGCTTTGCTGGCACCCAATGCCTGTAGAAAAAACCGATGAATAGTAAGTATTTCGCTTTGAGATTTCCTACGCCTCCCAGTCAGCACGAAAAAATGTAGTAATTAGAAACGTTACGACCTAATCAATGACTGTCAAACTTCGGTGTATGAAGAAATTAGCTTAATTATTCCAACGAAATGGGCGTTTAGAATAGCATGCACTGGCTTGGTGAGACAGAAGAATATTGGCTAGCTCCCATCTAGAGGGCGTGGCTGCAATGAATCACAGGCAAAGCAGACGGTGCCAAATTGGGGTGTCGGCGACAAAACCAGGTACCACGCCAAAATTTGAATTTGTAGAACGAGTGGCGCAGGAACGCAGACAAATAAAAAAAGTGGAGGAGGTTAAAAGGAACCTGAATTCAAAGACGATAAAGAAAGCGACAAAAATAAGGGAAAAACACGAAGCGTTACAAACAAATACACAGAGAAGGGAAGAAAAATTACGGGTGGGAACAAGAGGCTCCAAAAAGCTACGAAAGCAATCCTGGAGAAATTGAGATTGGAAAGAACTAGTTGGGTGGGCTTGTAGAATTGATGATCCTGTAACATAATTTCAAGGTATATCAGTCACCCCAGGATGTCAGCTGTAGATACGCTTCTTGCAGACCTCCCGTAAATCACACTCAGCAAAGAATGCCTACTTAAGTAGTATGCATGTTCTTACCAATTTTCGATGTCCTTATAAAGTCACTTATGTAGCACATGCACAAAAGCAGTCCTTCTCACACCCATTTGGTAGAAAATGACACCTTCTTCAGATTCCATACTCCAAGGGAAGGTCACTTTCGGTTTTAGAAAAGTTGCTTTCTATGAATTTTCTTAAGATCATTCATAGAATATGCGATCTACCAGCTTATTAAGGCTGTTTATGAAGAAGTATACTACTTGGTAGAGAAACATGGGATTTTGCTTGCACGAGTGCAACTGCAGGTCAGGTCCCGATTTATCGGGGAAATAAAAAGGCCTTTTTAAACTGAACGATACCATTTTTCGAGCATAGGATTTGCAGAACAGACCATTTTCAACCACGTGAACACAAGAAAGCATACTTTTCTGCATGTATTCTATAAAATATATCTGAAGTTCACGGGCTGCTATGGTGAGTCTGCTCACTGTGGCAGCCTGGAATGTTCGTTCCATTTTAAACAATCGAGGATCAACTGTTCGGAACGAAGGGCGGCGCTAGTTTCTCGGAAACTGGCGCGCTAAAAGGTGGGCATCGCCGCACTCAGCGAGATCCGTTTCCCCGAACAAGGCCAAGTGGAGGAGGTGGAAGCGGGTTACACACTCTTCTGGGGCGGCCGCCCCAACGCAGAGCACCGAGACGCGTGTGTCGCCTTTGCCATGCAGAACGACATCGTGGGACGACTTCACTGTCTGTCGCATGGCACCAACGATCGCTTGATGAACCTAAACCTTCTTCTCAGGGGTCTATCTTCGTCACCTTTATCAGCGCCTACGGCCCACCAATGAATGGCTCAGACGAGGCGAAGACAAAGTTCTATGAGGACCTGCACGCCCTCTTGGCGTCTGTACCGAAGGCAGATAATTTTGTTGTCCTTGATGAATTTAACGTCCGCGTCGGGACAAACTGCGTCGCCTGGATAGGAGCGTTGGATCCTCATGGAATCGTAGGTTGCAGCGACAATGGCCTCCTTCTTCTGCGAATCTGCACTGGACTCTGCCTCCTCCTGACCAACGCATTCCTTTGCATTCTGAAGCGGGAGAAGGCGACCTGGACGCACCCTCCGTTGCGACAGTGGCACTTGCTAGGCTACGTCCCCCTCCGGAGGCGAGACCAGCAGGACGTGCTGGTGACAAAGGCGATCCTGGACGCCGACGGATTGACCGACCATTGCCTCGTTATTTCCAAGCTAAGGTCCCATCTGCAATCCCGCAGAAGGCCACAAATTAAGCGAACCTCAAGTACTCCGAGGCACACAGTCCAGTCAACAGCCCTGGATGTCTTCGGTCGCGAAAGTCATCAGCACCAGGACTGGTTCGACGACAAAGACGTCGTCATCAGCAATCTGCTCGACAAGAAGAGCCGGCTGCAAAAAGCCTACGTTAACCTCCTTACCGACTCAAGCAAGGCAGCCTTCTGCCGAAATCGCTACCTTGCACAACAGCGATTGCAGAAAGTGTAGGACGCTTGGACAGCTCTCGAGACCGAGGCGTTTCATAGGCGCGTGGACTGCAACGAATGCAAGAACTTCTTCGCTGTGATCACGGCTGTCTACGGTCTCACAGCCAAAGGAGCCGTTCCTCTTCCCGACGCCAACAGACCTACCGCACTCACCGAGAAGGCGCAAATTCTGAAGGGCTGAGCCGAGCAATCAGAAACGTCCTCAACCGTCCCGACATAATTTGCGACGCCGCCAGCGATCGGCTGCCTCAAGTGGAGACTAAAGCCAACCTCGGCCTCCCGCCCTCTCTCCACAAGACCATAACGGCTTCAAAGCAACTCTCTAGCGAGAAAGCACCCGAATCAGATGCGATCCCTGTTGAGGTTTACAGGCACGGCTGTCCCCAGCTCATGGATCACCTGACAGCGTTCTTACAAAATATGTGACGCCAAGAACAAGTCTCTCAAAATTTTAGGAACGCCATAATCGTCCATCTCTACAAGCAGAAAGGGAACCGCCAACTCTGCGACAACCAAAGAGGAATCTCGCCGCTCAACATCATTGAAAAAATCTTCGCTTGCGTTCTCCCCAATAGCTTCAAAAGCCATCTGGAAGAGGGACTCCTGTCGGAAAATCGGTGCGGCTTCCGCGGTCATCACGGCACCACCGACATTATCTTTCCCGCCTTCCAACTGCAGGAAAAGCGTCAGAAGATGCGGATCCATCTCTACTCTACCTTCGTGGATCTGAAGGAACCTTTTGATACGGTGAATTACAAAGGGTTGTGGAAAATCATGCAGAAATCCAGCTGTCCAAAGCGCTTCACACACATGGTACGTCAGCTCCAAGACGGGATGATGATGACGCGCGTCACGGATGACGGCACAATCTCCGAGGCATTAGCAAAGACCAAGGGAATGAAGGAGGCCTGCGTACTCGCTCCCACCCTCTTCGGCCTCATGTTCATTTCCATGCTGATGGATGTCTACCGTGATGAGCGTCCTGGAATACACAGCCTATAAAATTGACGCATGCAGGTTCGATCTCAGCTATCTACAACTACCGTCCACGGCCTGCACTTCGCCTATGATTGCGCGCTGAATACCACGACCGACGTGGACATGCAAAGGAGCATGGATCTCTTTGCTGTCGACTACGCCAACTTGGGACTGACCATCAATACGGAAAAAACGGTAGTCAGGCCCCAACCGTCACCGAACACGCAGCACGGCACTCCTTCTCGAATCCCTGTCGACGGCAACCAAATCAAAACCGTGAACATCTTCGATTGTCTAGAAAACACATTTTCCTGTAGCCCAAGAATCGACGGTGAATCGGTCCACCGGATCTCCAAAACCAACCAGGCCTTTGACTGGTTGCAAACCCTCGAGTGGGATCTCCACGTCCTCCAACAGAATACCAAACTGAAGATGCACAAGGTCGTCGTCTTGACGCCACTTCTGTGCGGAGTGGTGACCTGGACCATATACGCGGGCCATGTCAGGATGCTCAAATACTTCCATCTAAAATGCCTTCGCAGAATACTGAAGTTGAGATGGCAGGACAAGATGCCGGACAGGGAGGTCCTGGAAGGGACTGCAATCTTTAACATCCACGTAATGCTGTGACAACTATAACTGCGAAGGAGCAGCCATATGGTGAGGAGCGACGACGCTTACCCACCAAAACGGCCGTTTTACCGAGATGTCGTCACGGGCGCTCGCCGCTCGGGAGAACCGAAACGACGTTACAAGTAAACTTTGAGGAATTCTCTTAAGCGATTGTATATCAACTCAGAGAGCTGGGCAGACGTTGTCCAAAACAGACCAGCCTGGAGAAGAGAGATGAAGGCTGGCGCAACCATCTAGGGAACAAACGGGATCGCCGCCGCCAAAGTCATAAGGGCTGTTCATAAGTCTCTGGCTCCTCCTATCCGCAACACAGCCAATCAAACCCACCCAGCGCGCCTACGTTATCATCGAATATCTTTCACTCGGATCGGCCTTGTTAGTCATCTTCGGACCCAATACCCCAACCACCCGACGACCGCATTTGCTACCTCCACGACCACGCCTGCTCCAACTTCCACGTCGACCACGTCGACGCCCATCCTCACCAAAGCTGCCTCAAATCCCCGTGTTGCACTGCCGTCGGCCAATACCACCTCCGCTACCCCTGCTTAAACTTCCGCGGCGACGACGAACACTACCACCTCTATCGCCGCCAACGATCCAAACGCTCCTGATGCCCTGACAACCACCAACGTTTTTACTATCACCACCCCCACCTCTAGCAGTGTGGACTCGGTCCCAACTGGTCCACACTGCGACCGCACATTAACTTCACACATCGGCCTGCTCGGTCTCTTACGAATCGGTCGCACACAGACCGGGTGGGCCAGTGCCTGGAAAACCAACACACATTTCCCGCATCAGCCTTTGTTGTCCGCGTACATTGGATCATAGGAAGGAATGCGTATCCATGACACCAAAGGCCATCACTCAAACTACCTTTATTGACCTCACACACTCAGCCACCACATGGGTCTCCCGGTCCCCTGCGCGTTAACTAAGACCCGCAGCAGATCGCCGTCGGCCATACTACCATCACGCCTCCTCACGAGCGCCTACAACGCGCACCAACATCACTCATCATCACACAACGCAAGCACACAATTGGAACTTTTCAAGTAAGTGAGGAGTGTGTCTCTCAGCTCCTCCTCCATGCGGGCCTCTTACTGCATTTCGACCAGAGCCTGAGACTATCACGGTGCGCCAAGTGCCGTGGTTTGGAAGGTTGCCAGCCGCCGCATTAATTCAGTTCACACAGTCTGCCTAGTTGTGCGTTTCCGCGGAATTGCGAGCTGGTGGACTTAGAGCCAGACTGTCACAGCTCTTTAAAGTGATCTCTGGCACTCTCACACATATATATGCCACCCAACTCCCGTTGTGTAAAATCATGGCGCCTGTGCTTGTGGGACTTGGTCGTGTGTGTAGCGAGCGCAGATACGGTCACCAGATATGCCAGCCCTTGTGCCCATTCCCCACACCAGTCGAATGACCGGCCCGGACAGTGGCCAGGGCCTGAAAATGGGAACGGAGAGTGAGGTCGACGGCTTATCGCATTTTTCCGACACGTCTAAAGCTATCACGGTACGCTAAAGGCCACGGCTTGGAAGGTTGCCAACTGGCGGGATAACCTGGACCTCGCAGTCGCCCCAGTGTGCGTTTGTGCGGGATGGCCGACTGGTCGCCTGAGAATCAGGCTGCAATGAGTCCTTCTCAGTGTAGCCTCCATGGCACTCCCACTCCCTGAGGTCAGAGCCAGCTAAGGCGGCACACTTAGGGGCTTATCCGACCGCGCCAGCCATCCGCGTCTCCTCCCGCCTGCTGTTTTCTCAACTATGTCTTGACACCAGATCTAGGTATGGGAGGAGGAAAGAGTGTGTTAGATACTGCGTAAGTTTACTATTACCATGAAAGAAATGGCATGCGAGTCGCCGTGTCTGCTCTCAGCCTACTGTGGAGCGCACGGTGGATGGTTGAACTGCCACAACAACGTTGGGGTGGCCATCTTGTGGGAATGGAAGATACACGTTTACTGAAACAAATCTTCAGTGGTGATATCACCACGGGTATACGTCGATGAGGACAAAAGCGGCACTACAAGGACACTCTGGAAAACTCTCCGAAACGACTGCAGATCAACCTGGGGACCTGGGAGGACCTTGCCCAGAACAGACCGACATGGCGAAGAGAAGCGAAGACCTGCGCAGCCATCTATGAAGTAAATCCTATTGCCGCCACCAAAGCCGAAAGGGAGGCTTGCAAGTCACAAGTGCCTCAATGTCAACAGTTAGCCGCCCCCGACATGTCCACGCTGTCATCGCGCATTCCGTGCGTGAATCGGCTTTTAAGACACCTCCGACGTCGACTTCTTCCCCTCTCGCCCCTGCCGCAAACTCCGCAACGACGTCCACCCCTTTCGCCGCGGATCACACTGTCGCTGCCCTGCCGCCATCATCCGCGCTGCCCCAACCCCTGCGTCCACCACAGCAACCGGCGTCGCAAACACCACGATACCGCGCACTCTCCTCACCTGTGAGGTGTCGTCCGACTTCCCATCACCTGCTACCATCACCACCAACACCCCCATCACCAGCGATGTGGACTCGGCCCATACCTGTCCCCATTGAGATCGCACATTCACCCCCCCCCCACACACACACACCGACCCTGTCGGTCACTTGAGAATCTATCGCACAGAGACTGACGAACCAGTGCCTGGAGCACCCATGTACATTCGCCGGATCCGCCTCCACTGCTCACACTTTCCTCGCACATTCACTACAGCAGTATTGAGCGCAGCCCCGACACACGTAACACATCCGGCACAATTCTCTGCTTCCGTTCAGGGCCCTGCGAAGCTGATGAGGGAAGCTTCTCCAACCATTAAGCATTTGTGCAAACACGACTCTTCAGCCGGCCATGTCTGTCCTAGGTCACTTTAGGCCGCGATAACGACCCCCAACTCTACGACAGCCAATCCTCTCCGCTGAAGGTTTGCCCGCATAAAGCCATGATGATCAAGAACATCCACAGAACATGCTTAAACGTTCAGAAACTTAAACGAGTTGCTCTTTACACTAGGTGGCCGATCTCATTAAAGATGCGTGCGAAACATAATTTTAAGATATTTCAAACGCGCCAGGATGTGGACCGTTAAATGCACTTCTTTCAGACCGTCTGTAAAATCACGCTCATCAAAAATGCCTACTCAAGTAGTATGCATGTCCTTATTAATTTTCGATGTCCTCATAAAGTCACATATGTAGCACGTGCATTGAAGAAATCCTTCTTGTATCCATTTGGTAGGAAATGGTGCCCCCTTCACATTCCATATTCTAAGAGGTGGTATTTTTGGTTTTGGAAAAGCCCCTTTCTATGAGATTTCTTAAGATCCTTCATAGAATATCCTATCTACCAGCTTATTAATGCTGCTTATGAAGAAGTATACTACCGGGTACACATCCAGTTCATGAGCCCTATATGACATATTCTTAATAGCGTAGAAAAATATGTGATTTCCCATGCAAGGGAAGTACACAGCATAGAGCTGTAAAATTCTAATCGCGTGTGTATCTGCAGGTGGGGTTCAAGATTATAGGGCAATTGAAAAGGTCTTTTTTCAGGCCGAACTATGCCAGTTTGTCGAGTATAGGATTTTCAGAAGAGGCCATTTTCTACCACGCGAACGCATGTATGTATTCTATAAAACACATTTGAATTGATGAGGACATCGGAAACCAAATCAAAAGTTTGCACAGTATATACATGCGCCGTCATTCCTTATGGAGAACGCTTTATTTACACTTACTGTATGTATCTACCCTGAGAAAGCCACAAAGATTGGTCAGGAAATTTCACGCCATACGATCGACTTGACCATTGCTTCCTGTGGGCCTGATGGACAGGAGTCTTTACGAATTTACTATATGAGAAGTACAGGCGCCAATTAATTGCCGATTCGTGTACAAAAGGTGGCTACAGAACGCCACCCGTGAATACTCATGCCACGACTAGACATCTGTTGACTCGTGCGGATGGTTATGCAGGAATTCGGCCTGGCTTGCAAAAATCCGCGGTGGCTTTAAAACATAAAACTCGGAATCTGCATCAGCTCCAGAAGTGACAGGCCAGACTCCGGCAAGTCAGTATTTTCGTTACACAGGTTTCACAAAACAAAATTCCAGATCCGACATAATTTAAAGTTAGGGGGCGCTCACCGATCGTTCCTACGGAACTCACTCGTTCCGTAGGAACGATCGGTGAGCGCCCCCTAACATTGTATATTCCCGATCGAAAACCGACAGGGCAACGGGCTCGTGGCCCGGTGAGTAGAGGCGTTGACTTCTAAACCAACAGGTCGCGAGTTCGAGGCTCGGGTGTTCCACACTTCGGGCTTGGGTATGGCTGGCTGACGACGGCTAATAAGCCAGAAATGGCCATTCCAGTCTCCCTTGTCTTTGTCGGTAATATCATTCTGCCTATAATTTAAAGTAAACGCACTCAGTCCCAAAATGACACCCGAAAAAGGTGACTGCCTCAAAAGAAGCCCAGAAGTATTTGCAAAGGTCTTAAAAAATATATAATTTTAAAAACACGGTAGGCTGTGCCCAGGAAATAAATAGGCGCTTGGACATGATCACGTAAACGAGAAGGTATGGAGCCGGCGCGAGTGTGTGGACAACTACTGCGCGAAAGAGAGCGATATGTTTGGGCGGCGGCGATTGAAAACTCATGGTGATGGCATAGTCTTGAGACGTTCGAATGCAGCTTTTTCCAATGACTCCCTGAAGGACAGAAAAAGAGACAGGAAAGGGGCTTGAGATTTTTGGTGCATAAAGGACAAACCCATCAATTCCTTCTGCAACATGCAGAAAGACAACATTTTGAGAAGCCAGGAGCCCGATTAAGAGAAAGAGGTGAGAGTACCGTTCCTCAACAAAGACGATGCGGAGCACGAATACACAACGGTGATAGACTTAACTTCAAATAAGAGGACTGGAACCTAGAACCATGAAGAGATCCAGGAAACCACTTTTTCAATCAGCACTTTGAAACGTTCTACTGAAACCCGTGACTTAAGTGCGCATCTTCGTTTTATGTAGGGAGGGGTGGTGGGACTTTAAGAGGTCATCTATAAAGTCGAAACCCAGAGTCGAAGGAGCGGGCGAGCAGTAGGTGGAGGGATACCCGAACAATTTGAAGGGACTTCAGCCAAAACCTGTCACTCACTAAGGCCATTACCATTACCAACCATGAGGTTGACGTAGTATTTCGAGCGGTCGAGGAGAAGCATGTCATATAAAGAAAGGAATGCGGAGTCCGAACTATCATGTAAATATCCACCGTGCTGTGAAGTTTTGGAAAGTATAAATGTGAAGAGACCACAGTTGGTGCTGCAAGTTGAGGTCCTCCTTACTTATGGCCGCGGTACGGTCCGCCTTATCAAGACCAATAACACGATCAGCATGAAAACGAGAAAGTGTTTTGCGATACCACGTCCGCGCCAGTCTACGTAAACTATCTTTACTAAAACTCGGTCTTCTGGGGTCAGTGAGACGCTCACTGGTGATAACAGGCGCGCCAATTACCAGTGGCCCAAAGAATCTTTTTTAAGTTAAAGCACCTCGTGAAATGCAGCGATTTATGCACAAAGGCTCCCTCGGGGACAGGTCACTCCAACCAGCATACGTCCTTATCGATGCATTAGCAACAGCGCATATTTTAGAACGTAACAATTGTCCACAGGTCTGCGACCTAATAGAACACGTGGGTCGATGTAAGTCTAAAGCTAACGACTTAGTTCGTCTATTTGCTCATCTACCTGCTCCCACGAATAACCAGAGCTAGCCAAAAATAGATGGAGGTGAGACAAACATTCATCGAGCACGTCAAGAGGTGTGAAATCAACAATCTACCTGGCCCCGAAGCACCGGTCATAACAAAGCGGACAAAACGTCAGAGAATATCAGGCAAGCTCATATGGAATGTTTCTTCGAACTTTCGCTGTGTTTCGCTGTGGTGTTTCGTGTAAAGTTAAATTGACTAGGTAGCTTGCCATCGTCCGCAATATTTCAGTATTGCGTCCACTGTCATCGCCGACGTGACGGCACAGTGATCACCAGCGAAAGTGACGGCCACCCCGACCACTTCCCATACGCATGCTGTCCTGATGTCGAGACAAGAAACAGGAGGACGAGGGTGGATACAGTAATTTCAGAGGCGAGGTCAGGTTCAACATTTATCGAGCAGGACAAAAAGGCTAAATCAGCCATCTAACTGCCGCAGACGCAGTCGTTGACAGAAACCGGAAAGCGTGGTCGAAGGCCAGACACGTTCTCATGGGGTAGTTCACTAAACTTTCACTGTACGTTATAGAATGGTGTCCCCTGTGAGCTAAGCCGGACTAAAACTACTGATTAACTTGCCGTTATCCGCAAGTATTTTATGGTCCGTCCGCTGTCGTCGGTTGGAACCCCAGCTGACTCGCCCGTGAGTGGTTTTATAGTGGAGGTGACCTCTACGGCATCAACTCAACCCACTTGGCACGCATGTTGTGTCCCAGTTTCAGGACGGGCAACAGAAGACGGGCGTCGACGCAGCGGCTGAAGGGGCCAAACCACTGCATGTGCGCGTCCCACACATGCCGATCCCAACGTTGGCACAAACCAGACTTCAGAAAAATCCGAACCTCGTGTTCGCCAGAGCAGACATAAAGGTCACGCTCAGAAGAAGTCATTGAATCTGAAAATCAAGCGGTTTCAGGAGCCCTTCGGGTCAAAAGGTGAGCAGAGAAGAATCTTAAGTTAAGTAATCAATTTTGACGTGGGAGACGGACTCACCTGAAGTCGGGGTGAGCAATATTGATGAGAGCATGTGCTCTCTGACGAAGGTTCTTGCCAAACAGATAGGCAATGCCGTATTCGGTGACCACGTAATGGACGTGAGCACGTGTGGCAACGACGCCGCTGCCATCCGTCAGGACGGGAACGATAGTAGACGCCCCAGCAGAGTTCTTCGAGCACATTGTGATGATCGGACGACCACGTCCATCGATGGAGAGGGAGGCTCCACGTAGGAAGTCAATTTGACCACCAACTCCTACAGATCAAATAAAGAGGCACGGATTACAGACTTGACGCCCCGAGCAAAAGTTCCGACTGCGCAGTTAAGGCGTATCCTTTGCGCTTCTAAATATAGGCAATTGGATCATGTCTGAAAGCACCAAGAGTTAGCAATTTGATCTATGCAGCAGCTAAAAACTACAGCAATGAAGCGGGGCAGTAGCGAACATGCGAGGAGCACGGTGAGATGTGGGCAAAGCGGTTGATGCGTAGGTCATAGTTCCTAGATAAAAAGGCTTTGTAGGACCCCCTAGTCTTCCAAGACCAAAGAGCTCCCTGAGGTCAGTAACTGGTGTATGACTGTGTGGGACTGTTGAACAATGAGAGATAGTTTACAACGCGTGGACGGCCAGTGCTGCTTTACGGATCACAGGCATGATCCATTTATGACTAAAAATGGGCAGTATTCGATCATCAATGTAGGGCCTACTGCAGGAAACAGCCGCACGATCATCCTATTGAGTCATCGCACACTCTGTTGAGACTGACAGAATCAATCGTTCTGTGGGATAGCCGATTTTCATGCCACAAGCAACTTCAATCTCACAATAGGCCGACGTTAGGAAGACGAAAATGTAATACGAACTGAAATTTTACTACGCCCTTGAAAGGAGTTGACAACTCAGCTGGCATTATCACGAACGCGTCATCGTTGAATAGAATCAATGCCAGACATGATACCTAGTTGGATCCGTGACAGTCTTGTGTTGCTTTCTATGTGGCCTCTTTGTATATTCTTATCCAATCTATGGTGGACTTTGACACTGCGAACTCACAGACCGAGTCGGTGTGGCCTTGTGACGAAGAAATTAACTTATGATGACTGAAGGATAAACTGGACAGAGATCACCCAATTAAAGCATCCAATTTTACCTAATTCTTTTTTGTGGAATAGTAAAATTGCGTTGCGTCCACAAATACATCTACAAGCCTACTCCATCCGCTCTGCGTCCGTTTGAGCAAAGAAAGCTCGATGCAGGTGACTTCTGATCTAACCAGCCGAACAAGACGAAGACGCCAGGGATGGCTAGAATAATCTATCTACGTGTGTCTCCAGAACAAGCGAGGTACATTTATGTCGGCCCCACACAAAAACGTAAGCTTACTCGTGCGGCACTTCTCTACGACACAGTTAAGCGAAGTTAGCAACCGCATGCACGCCTTCCGCTTTCAAGTGCCTTATTGAAGATAGCAACAAAAAAAAACGATTAGATGCAAGAGTCGCACGTTTCACCCTAGGCCACTGGACGCATATTTCGTCGGCTCGGGGGATAGAGAGCATCAAATCTGGCCACGTGAGCAGCCCTTACTCTGTGGGTCAGCTCGAAACCCAAAGACTTACTCGGAGATACATAATCAGCCTTGGAGTATACCGAAGAGCCGCGTGGGAGCTTTTCAAACACCTGTCAGACAAAAGTAAAATAAGGTATCGAGGGAAAAAGCGGGATCATGATGGTTTATACCGTCACAAGTCACAAAATGAAATGGGTTCAGTTTTAAACTCAAATTATTACAATATAAGTCACGAGTATGGTGCATTATCAGGAAATCTTGAGAGAGAGAGAGAGAGCGAGAGAGAGAGAGAGAGAGAAAGGGGGGTCTATTGCGACTCGCTGGAGACTGGGAACGTACAGAAAGTCGAGGCTGACTATCCTAATCATCCTGCGTCTGCAGTTTTATTCTTTCTGTGCAGACAAAAGTGGTCTTACTGCTTTAACCAGCAACACTGGCAGCGCCTCGTGAATGCGCCCGTGTAAGCAGGCGTGCCTGGTATCTGGCGCTGGTTATAAGTTCGTATTTTAATTCACTCCTCATGAATCGTTAGTATGTATGCATAGCTACTGCTATCAATACACTGGTCATGCTCCCTCAAACGACCCTTGTTCAACACCGAAGAATCCGGAAATGTGGCAAGCCTGTGAATGTAATAGTTAGTAGAGCGAAGGTAATCTAAACACCCTTTTATGGGAACAGCCATAAACACGGAATTTTTGTGCATGATGCTTCCATGAATGTGCATGTCCTTTGTCGACATTATGTTTTGTTTTCAGAGGATTTTTAGTTTTACTTAGTCCGCATCGGCTGGTGGATAGTGGTACTGTGGGGTAGTAGGTTGTAAACCACACTGTCCCACCTCCCAACAATAGACTCGGGAGAGTTGTGCCGGACCAACACGGGAACAAGACCAGGGTGCGACATGCAGTAGTAGGATTTGCATCAACGGCAAATGCCATACTTGAGTTAGGTGTGGCTGCACGCCTACGTGCAGACTCTCGCCGCGCCGGCCATAAACGCCCTATTCTGCCTCTGGTTTTGGTCGGTCTTCTTGACTCTGTTTTGACACAGGGCTCAAGAGGGTGAAGGATGGCACAGTGCGGCAAATGCGGCACAAGTCCACTATCACTTTAAAATCATTCACACGCAGGTCACCATCCCTGAGCCCACCATGCAGTGGGGCACACAGTGGGCATATTTTCCGAGGACGGTCGAACCGTCACTCAGTAAACTAGTCGTTCAGTGCTGATGCGTACTCAACATCTGCCGGCGAAAGGCCGATAGGGGAAATTCTGCCGGTTGTGCCATCTACGCCCTCTAGTTCGACTTCTTTGGCCTTAGTAATGACTAGGGATTCGATAAGTCGGTCAAGGTCGACTAGCCTACTGACCGTCCCTATGTTTGATAACTTGGTCCCCGGTTGAACCGTTCGTGTCATCTAATGTCTCGACCAAGGATATCCGCTCCATCGAAATCTGTGGGATGCTCCTTTGGTTTTGCAAGTGGAGACTCAGCTGTCTAAAGTTGCAGGTTCTGGATAGATGTATCCTGACTGTTTGATTCTTTGCGCTCTCCGTTTTGTTTACTTGTGCAAAGTCTACTGGGTGCCAAACATGGAGGCAACAATGGGCAATCGAAATGGATGGGTCAAATTCAAATTACCGGAATAAATACAGTTCCCAAGACTGTCACCAGCGCATTGTCCCGTAAGGTCCATCTCGAAGGCAGTATTGATGGATGTCACCTTCGGGTTGCGAGCAATAACTTCGATGGAGTTCACCCACGCGATATCGTAGAGCGCTACGATGACGAGCCGAAAGAAAACCAAGTAAAGGGGAGTTAATCCGGCATAAATGGAATTTCAGAGCTTTCTTCGACTCAGCAAAGCATGGTCTTTAAACCGCGGAACAAAAAGTGCGGTATATAGTCATGGAGAGGGGTGCTAAACACCAATATCGGTGAACCCTTGATCTCGTTGATGTGTCTATGTCCTGGATGAGGCGAATGTACTCTCAACAACAATTTAAGAACCCCGACATGACGCGGTCTGCCAATGAGCCGCCCGGTGCAGAATAAGTAGTCTTTCATACCCGATGAAGGAGAAGAAAAAGAAGAAGAAGATAGAACTCGTAAGGACAATGCTGTGAGTAACTGGAAGGCTGAAGTCTGGCGCATAAACTACCTTTCAGATTTCGATGTCGATGGTCGTGGAACACAAATCAGCATATTTGCTGCGCAAGTTGGATAACCATACAGGATTCAAGATGAAGACAAATAAATTAAACCTGAAAGAAGAAAGTCATGAGAATCGAGTCTGTTTGTGAAAGGCGCTGATCTTGGGGAACTTAAATATCATTCGTTTTCGCCTCAGTCAGTCAGTTGTGGCAAAAATAGCATCAATAGAAACCAAAAAACATTACGTCAAATGCGAAAGCGATATTACCTAGTCAAACCTGCCGTCTTCAAAAAGACATCCATTACCACGATCCTACTAAGGATCGGAACCTACGCATAAATTAGACTTTTCTAGTGACCTCCGTGGCGTCATATTTTCCCGAAAAATTACGGTCCCGGTGGCGGAATCTGCCGTCCGTTGAATTCCGCTTGGTGTCCATGAAGACGGTGACAAGATAAACGCAGTGCAATGGGCGTGTTTTTTCGACGAGATTCACATAAAAGCGTGACCAAACGACCACTGAGAATGCAGTGGAATTCCGGTGCGGTTGTTTCACAAAAAGAAATTGTAGGGATTCCCAGATTCCCTTTTAAGGATACTCACAGCTTCGACCACTTATGTGACCGGATTGGACGGAATTTGGGGAGAAATTTAAAGACTGAAAACGATGCAGAAAATGAGTCAAATGTCCGTGTGTGGTTTCAAGAAAAGAGTAACGAAAAGCCTGTATCTGGTGGCAATAATGTGCACTTCCCTTCTCATTGCATTTTACAGTGCCCAGACAAAAATTTAAAAAAGTGCCATATCCATCTTTTGGACGTAGGGTGAGTGAACAAAAAGCTTACCAACAAGAGGATTTTCATGAATAAAATCGAAGACTTTCTTGGTGCCGATCGTGTAACTGGCAACGATACGCCCACGTCGAACCGTCTTGTTTCTGTTATTTACAACACCGAGGTTGACTAGATCCACAATTCCCTCGGAGAACATCTCGGCGTGCAAGCCTAGGTCACGATGGCCACGAAGTTGATTGGTGACTTCAAAGGGAATGCGACCAAATCCTAGGTTAAAAATCGTCAGAAAATTAGCAACTGTGAGAAGTCACCAACAAAAGCAAGGCACGGCAGAATGGCCACTTCTTGCCTAATTTTCGTCATCACCTAACCATTCACCGACTCCCAGTCAAGTGTTTGAGAATTGAAGCCTAGCCAGCTTGTTATAGGGAACTTCTTAAATCTAGACGTTGCTGATCTGCATATATCGGATCAGCGCTCTCCTCTGCTACGTTTGAAATATGTTAATGAGAAAGGCAAGATAGACTATGCACAACTCACGCAAATATGGTGGTTATGCATAACAGTATCGATCAGAAGAAATGCAGATAGTTTACGACTTGTCATGTTGTCACAGTTATTTGGTGCCCACGTGCAATTGAGAAAATTGGGAAGTATCGTGTTGACAGGGGTAATTTCTGGATAATGTATTCATAACCATGGTAGCGTTGGTGAGAAGCACATCCTTTCTTTAAACATTATGATATTATTGAGAATTAAAATCACGGAGTAGGAATACAATTATAAGATCTGATTGTTTGGTTCCTACTGCCATTGTTACTATCATTACCTAAGGCCAAAACTGTATTCTCCCAAAAAGATTTTTTGTCCTGTGACTTGAATTATTTATTAACTGTGGGATGTTATCGACTGCTGCTTGACCGACAAATGCCGCAGAGGCTGCAGAAGGAACGACAATAAATTAACAATATACACGAACTAATACCTCTATGCTGCCAGATCTGACTCCTCACTTGAACTGCTAGAGCGCAGTAGGCCGGAGTTCCAACATGGAGTTTTGCGTTTAGAGAAGACAGCACACCAACCAATTAGATAACGATGTGTTTAGGTCGCATAAATCGTTTGAATAAAAACATGTTGTGCTAAGCCTCACAATTATATGGTTCCCTAAATGCGACCTGAACCTCGGCGGCTTTGAAAAGTAAACTCTGCTTATTGTCTCTACATCAAGGAGGTTGAAGAAAAGCCTAAAAGTTAAATTTGTTTGCGGTATCTTGTATTCTTTCCAAAGTTTGCTTCTGCGATAGAAATAGGCCTGGAAGAGTCATCGTTGACAAAGAATGCAAAATATTATCCCTTGATGCCAAGACGCCTATTATTTGCTCCACAAGTAGTTTATTTGGCTGGAATTACGGCCTTTACTGGTTTACTGTTACCAAATGCACTACCGCCTATCAATGGAGCATAAACAATAGATGCTGGATCAGGTTTAGGCTTATCTAATGAGCCGACTGTAGAATATAAAAGTCACACAGAAAAATTGGTAGTTGCGTAACGTTACTGTTGTCCTATTTGCAGGGTTTGCTCCGACTAGGTACCGATATCGCGGCGATCATGGAAGTCGTGGACCGAAGTACTAACGGTCATGAAGGTAAGCAATGTTTGAAACTCCAACTTCAGCAGCCCAGTGATATTCGCGACTAATTTTTTGGTCGTAGAAGCTGACTATACACATTCGCGATGCCAGAAAATCGGTAGACAGTCGTACTTTGTCCTTACCCGGTATAGATAAACAGCCTTGTCGAGTTGGCCTTTGGTGACATTAATAAAAGTGGCATAAAACCTTCGTTTAAACTGCCTCAGTGTACCATTTTTCATTTCCCCATGTAGTCAACCATATCTTACAATAACAAAACTAACAGGAGGTTGTGCGGAAGACTATCGAAAAACAAGACGCATAATTCGAACGTATAAAATCCTTAGATCAAGCCATGCGAAATCTTTAGAGTCTAGATCGGCAGATTCAGCGGACAAAAATAACGGTACTAAAAGTTTCCTTATATCAGGGGTGTTCTGACCAACAGCGAGGCCCTCGAACCATGAACCGAAAAGCGTTTTGCGTATTGATCCACACTAAACACCAAATGTACTGACTCAAGATCCCCAAACAAATAAAATGCCGTCCCAGTTCCCAAATTTCTAAAGGACTGAAAGTGAAAAAATGCTACCACTAACCCAGCTGCATTGTTGCACCGTCCTCCACAAGATTTTCAGCAATTATCTTGGCGATTTTTTGTTCGGTCGAAGTTGCCGTCGGAGGCGGAATCTCCTCTAGGGCTTGGGGTCCATGCACAAAGAAATCGATTTTGCTGCAATGAATAGTGCCGTCACCATAACTGGTTGGTGCCATCGGGTTAACCTGACCTAACAAAACAAGCCTCGGGGGTCGAAACTCTTACCTATTATCTTTTTAGCGTTTTGAATGGCGGAGCGAGCAGTGCCAACCGCAGCCCCCAAAGAGCAAAAACCATGCTTATCGGGAGGCGTAACCGTAATAAGAGCATAGTCCATGTGTATGTGTTTTTTGCGGTACAAAAGGGGTACCTCTGAAACGGATATTGGAGTGAAGTCTGCCCGTCCACTGTTGATAGCATCACGACACAAATTGCCTAAAAATTATCCGAAAAAAGATAAGCAATACTGGAATAGGGTGTATTAAGACGAAAGGATTCCTTGGCTTCCTCATTAAGGTACGGTAGAGATCCGAGTGGGAGCATATGATTGACAGCAACATTTTTTATTCCTTTCTCCATGACGTACTGATAGAGAACAGAAATGAGTGTAGCGGGCGATGAGCAGGCGCCCTGAACGAAAATCTTTGCGCCTAAAAGTATAAACCACTAGAGAAAAATTTACCATCGGCAAGATCGGCAAAGACTTCATTTGGATCTTGAGACCAGACGGGGTTCTTGCCGGGGACTGGCGCGACCGGTTCATTTAAATTCAGGCCGCTGTTGTGGGACCTCAGAGTCAACAGTGACCGACAAATCGGCACGAAATTTGGAACACGACCCAAATTTTTTACTGTAAGCATGATAGGCCTGTCGATAGTGCACGACAAATTAGGACTCCTCCGAAATGTGCGCACAGCACGCTAACTAGAAGTTAGGTCAAGGTGAAACTTGATGTGGTACATTCAAAGCGCTAGTCCCGCCAGAAGATCCAAAGGCACGTGCTTCTTTTCAGGATTAGCACGGATATTGAGACCAGCCAGTAAGTCCGGAACGGAGATATAGACTTCATTCGGATGTTATGATCGAAATTTGCAAGGTTATGGGATTCCAGGCAATGGTGCACACAAGGGAAATTTACAAAGAATCAGTGAAGACAGTAGATAAACTGCCCACAGGAACTTAAAGAACTTAACACAAGCCTTGTGTGTCTACGTTGAAGAGATTACTGAGAATGCAAATGCGTACAATTGAGATTTAGAAAACTAACTGTAGCAGGTAATTAACGGGAAACGCGTGACTGAAAAGAGAAAAAAATGACCGGCTGTGAAAGTCGCCCGAATCTGTTTAAAAAATTGAAAGTTTTCCGAAACTGGAAACTTTCTTTTCCGAACAAGCAGAAATTTATTAGACTACAGTTCGGTATATTAATTGACACAATCTCTAGTCAACCCCTTGTTTTTGACTGATGACTCCTATCCCATAATTCCACTATTGTCCTCCATAAAGCCATTCGGTGGTGTCCTCTTACATGATTAACGCAGGTGGAAATATTCGAGCAGCTTTTACGCACTTTTTGTGGTGGCCAAAAACCTTACCCGACTAACTCTCGAATGAAAATATTTGCTACCACTGTCTGATGAGTCTTGTACGCTTCCTTGCCGCAATGCACGTTTTCCAAATTACTGTCTCTTTCCCGCCATATTATATGAGACCTAGCGTGCTGATTCCTCTTGCTCCCTTGTCAGTTAGTGACCTTTTCCGAACACCAGTATGACCCTGCCTTTATTTTTGTTGTACTAAACCATCGCCAATGGATAAATTTGCACCGGAAGTTCAGCGTATCCTAAATCTCGTTCGGCAGCCTCATTAATTGAGGTGGATATTTGGCTACTGGGAATTTACGGCCTCACCACATGCTCACTTGCCCTAATTCCCGCTTCCACAGATTCCTTGGAGTTTCAAAGCTCGGACCTAAAGTCCCAGCTAGCTAGACCTACTTGTGATGAAAGCCTTCTTCATCAGGCAGCGTCCACGTCATGTCGGAGCCCAATGAGTCTGTCCGCCTGTCAGTCCCAGCCTAACCCTTGCTGGCGGACACGTACCACCTTCGACGCCAAAGCCCGTCCTTGCATCTCCCAATGCCCTTTCTCCTTCAAGTAGGGTCACCTGGAGAGCGAGATTTGCCCGAGGTATGGTACAGCTAATTTCCCTGCCAACTCTTGTCCTGCACGAACTTTTCATGCCAGCAACAATCGAGGTGCCAATCGTTTCGTAGTCGAAAAAGTTGCACGGTTAGATCTCATCTCTCACATATCAATTGGTCGTCGGTGTCGATCGCCATCTGTGAGACCAGTTAGTTCAATCTGGACATAGGCCTCTCGAGTTTCTTCCATTTAATGTCCGTCGTTACTGCTGTCTCATGTTGCATTCTGGATGTAGAGCCCCTGCCGCATTTTATCTGCTGGTCGGCTTCCGACACTTCTGTCCATGCGGCAAGACAGCGAATTTTAAATAAATATAAATATGACTAAATATTTTTTATTAAAGATGCTTTAGGTTTAATCATGGCGAGTAAAAATAAAGTTCCCCATGAATTATAGAACAGGCCGACAGAATCTACAGAGAATTCATTTCATGCTTTTGAATTAGCAGATTTGTGTTAAAATTAGGAGAAAACAGTGAAGAAACTCCTTCACATAATAAACAGAATGGAGGACATTGGGTCAACTTTAAAGGAGAAAAAACCTATCGTCCATGAAAGGATAAAAATGCGGGCAGGACCGGCCAGCATGTGGCAGTGTATAAGGGATTATAAACGGACATCGTCAGGGCAGAAATAAATGTCAGCCATAAGGGGTAAGTATACGAGTCAGACAGGACTGGCCTACATGCGGTGTCGTACAAGCGATTCAAAACGGATACCGTCAGGGCAGAATTCATACACCGGATGAGACTATTCGCGTTAAAGTGCCGAGAAGAGACCCTGCCAGCACCAGCCCCGCCTAACCCCCTCAAATGTGGCCGGGTTAGAGGGGACTATAAAGGGGCTTGGCGGGCCATTCTACGAAACAGTTCTGTCTGGTCCCACCAGCGAAAAAAATGCGCGGGAGACGCCACCTTTTCGCCCATTTTTGACATCCTTTTAAAATACCGACCCGTATGGTGAGTCCCCTGAGATACAGTGCCTCACTGTCCCCACATGTCGCATGTCGAAACCCACCCGGGTGGCTGATACGACTTAGTACTGGCGATAGGTACTGGTTAGACCATTTAAGAACTTTCATTCCGTGGATGTGCACTTGAATGCTTATGTCGGAAATACTTGGTCTCGAACGAAGACAAAGCTCATGGAGCAGATCGTCTGTGAGACCCAAGTGAACGTAGGTGCCGTTACTTAGAGGCTTCCTATTGCACGCTTATTATTGCTTATTCTCTGACTTATAAGTTACTTTTGGTAAATTAGCTCCTTTTAGTGCCAACGAATGTAAAATAAGTAGTGCTTTTGAAACATAACTTTCGATGCAAATACTCTTCAAAATGCTTCAATCCAGAGGGAACTACGGCCCAACCCAACCCCTTCCCAGCCCCATCTATCAAGAGGCCATGTTTTGGCAGGGGAGGAATCCAGACGATCGGTCATAGTTCGCTTCGAACCCAGTCGAGGAGAGGGCGAGGGAATAACGGCAAAATTACTAGTAGACGGCGAATAGAGAGGGTTCCGCCGTGAGCGTCGTCAGACCGCCTGAGGTCCAAATGAGGGAGATGAAATCAAGAACCGTGAAAATCGTCCCTAAGCGGAGGAGTGATGGCAGTGGAATTAGCAGCCAATTAAGAAGCAGGAGGTTGTAAAATATGAGTGAGGGTTTCCAACTGACCTGCCACTAAATCCCAGGAGAACCCTTCTCGAAGTCAGGAAGCTGAGTGTTCGAGAATGAGACGGTTAATAGTGTCTGTATACTTTCCGGTGTAAGGTGTGTGTGTAGCTTGGATTTGAATGCCGATAACTTAGACAGTGACCTAATTTCCGGCGGAAGATTATTCCAAAGGAAGGCATATTTGGATGCAAAAACGAGGGAGCGTTTAGATGAAGTGCAAAGAGGCGGCGTCGGAATCCCCATGGGGGAGTTGCGCGTGGCATAAGACCGATCTCTCGGAGTGAGAGTGTCAATGAGCGGAAGAGTGGAGCCAGAGTTAATGCAAAAAAGGAAGGAAAGTCCTGGTTCGAGTTTACTAATCCGAAAAAGCTTCATTTTCTCCAGCTGACATCTCTAATTATAAGAAATACCGGACGAAGCTTGAGAAAACAGTTTCTGGGTGGGAACCTCCTGAACATTTTCGATTTTGTTACGGTTACAGGCGCTCATTAAACCACACCACGGTCGCCATTAGCCGCTCTTCTTTGGGACAAGATGGAGGGGTGATGCCCAGTAGCTGTCGGACTATCGGATGATGCCGAGCTCAAGCATATGTTCGAACTCTGCCTTGGCAATCTTCAAACAGTCCGGAGCAAGACTACATGGTCGGCAAGATTCAGGAGGTCCGGTGGTGGAAATTTGGTAGGTGACTGTCTGTTTGATGTCCACTTATCGAGTTATGTCTCCAGAGGTAACTCCAGACAAACCAGTTCTGGTGGATAACGTGGCGTTCGACGCTAATGCATTAAAAATAAGTCAGGTTCCATTACCTGCTATAGTAACTAAACCTGCCAAATCATCGAACACTAAAGTTGGGAAAGCCAGGGTGACCCTCAGAAGATCTGTTAGAAACTACAAGGACTCGCCGTTATTCTTGGAAGGCAATGCTGTTACTCCACTTCTTCACAAGGCTAACTCATCTGGAAAGTGCCCTAACCATTCCGTTTATGGAAAAGGACACGATAAGCCTTCGTGCAGTACATTGCAACATGGTAGTGATTGTAGGAGCTCCACTGCTGGAGCAAGTACGTCACCTGAAAATCCATGCCCTAAACTCCCTTCGCCGGCCGAAAATCATTCAAATATCGAAGTGCCAAAATCCGTCGGGAATACTACAGTAGCATTATATCGTCCTAGCGCGGACGGGACAGTAATGAGCTCTTCCATAAATCGTAAGCAAAATATTGTCATAAGGGGCGCCCCAGAGTCCACGTCCTGCATTCCGAAGGAACGAGTGACGCACGACCTAGACCTTCTTCATCAGTACGCCAGTGCTGTCCTGCAGGTCGGGGAAATATTCACCGTTAAAAAAGCTTCCCGACTAGGCAGAGCGGACCCAAATCGTGACCTAGAAACATCCCCAAGACCCCTGAAAGTTATTTTGGAAAACGAAGCCCAAGCAACGCTTTTGTTAGAAAGTAGAACGACCTTACGCAATTCGCACAAGGAAGTGTTTTTTCAACCAGACTACGAACCGAGGGAAAGACTGAAAATGGGAGAACTGAGATCAGAATTGAAGGAGAGAATTGGCAGAGGAGAGAAAGGGCTGAAGATCAAAAATGGGCAAATAGTCCAGACAAAGGGGTCTTTCCTGTGGTCAGAACCCGTCACAATGAAGGCCGGGCCTCTCCAACGAATCAGTCATTGAAGGTTATATCCGCAAATGTGCAAAGCCTTTTCAACAAACTAGATGAACTAAGAGACTTAGTTGATGAAATTAAGCCAGACATTATGGCATTCACAGAAACGTGGCTTACTGAAGATATCGCAGCTTCAGAAATATCACTTAGAAGATATCAGCAATTCAGGAGAGCTAGACTAAGCCGAGGAGGAGGAGTCATACTTTATGTCACTTACTAGCTAAGCGCTATGGCTGATGTACATAGACCGGTACGGGATGTGGAACTGCAAAGCGTTACCATATCTACTAAGAATGTCCGATCATT